CCCATCAGCTGTCAGAGCTCCCAGCCACAGGGGACCGTACATTCAACTACCAACATGATAGAAACAAGCCATGAAGTTATTGGACATGTTTTATGGAATAACTTTGTGGGTTATTCCTTGTTTTATCACACCATTAATTGTGGCCAGAGCTTAAGACATGATTAACTGGGGCCTTTGAGATGGCAATCTGAATCGTAAAGTAGCTGGGGCAAGACTGAAGCTTACAAGTGGCTGCTTTGGGTCCGTTTTGATCATGTGCAGTAGCCTGAGTATGACACTGAATGTCAAACTGGGGGCCTATACTGGATGGAGGCACATTGTGAGTTTTTTAGGATTCTGGCACCAATCCAATTTAGTTTAGTTTAGTTCCCACCTACTGAAGTGATTTAATCTGGTTCATTCTTAAATAGCTAAAATTTCTCACAGCTTAAGATAGGGGCAGGCAAAGCCTGGCTCACAGGCCAGGTTGGGCACATGGTGGACTCCATTTCCCAGCAGCCCCTGCCCACCTCACTGTGGGCCAGTTTCCAGGGATACCCCAGGAGCAGTGGAGCTGTAATAGAGCAGGACCAGCACCTGGGTTTCCATGGAGACCAGCCCCAGCAGCACTGGTAGGGTGTGACAGGGAGCTGCTCCAGGGCCAGGATCCTGTAGCAGTGACAGTGTGGTCTGGAGCTGGGGCAGAGCTGTGATTTGCTGCCCACACACCCTGGGTAGGCAGCAGATCATGGCTCTGCCCTGGCTCCAGCTCATGCTGTCATTGTTGCAAGATGCACACTTAAGAGCAGCCCTGGAGAAACTCTCTACCCAGCTGCATGCCCCACCAGCACTGCTGAGGCTCATCTCCATGGAAACCCTGGCCTCATGCTGCCACTGCTCCTGGGGTCTGCATGGAAACTGCCCACAGTGATGTGGGAAGGGGCTGCTGGGAAATGGAGTCCAGCGACCAACCAGATCCACCATTTTCCCCATCCCTGGTTCAAGGCATAACTATATATAGATTGGTAAATGGACTAAAAGGACCCTCCTAGGTCATTGAATGTAGTCCCGTGCTACGGCAGCAAAGAAAGTCATATGATACACTTCATAGATGTTTCAAGCTCCATCTTAAAATGTATTAGGGTTTTTGGCTCCCACTACACCTAATAGCACAGTTCCAGAATCTAATCTGTCTGATGGTTAAAATCATAGAATCATGCAATAGCATGGTTGGAAGTGATGTCAGGAAGTCATCTAGTCCAACCCCCTGCTCAAGACAGGAAAGTTTTTAATTTTCTGCCTGAATTTTTTTCCTGGTCGATTCATAGCTATTTATTCTTGTGCCAATGTTGTCCATTAGCTCAAATAGCTCTTCTCTCTCCTTGCTGTTTACCCCCTGATGTATTTAAAGAGAGAAATCATATTCCCTGTGGACTTTGTTTTGCTGGGCTAAAGGAAGCCAAGCTTTTTTTAGTCTGATCTTTCAAAATAGACTCTTCATTCCCTTAATCATCCTAAGTGGCCCTCCTCTGCATTTGTTCTAGTCTGAAATAATCTTTTCTGAACATAAGGTACCAGAATCAAGCACAATATTCCAGATGATGCATCAGTGCCTTGCACAATGGCAAAACACTTCTCTATTTCTGCTAGAAATACATTGCCTGATATACCCACAAATGGCAGTTGCCTTTTTCACAGCTGTATCACATCAGTGGTTTATAATTCTTCTACGGTGGACTAGTACACCTGAGGCTAGAAATAGACATTGCCAAAAGAAGCAGAACTGCTATGCCAGGATGTGTCAGAGCACAGCTAATACACTCCCTTGGGTGAAACACAGATCACCTGTTGTACTGCTCACTGAACTTTTGGGACAGTGGACAACATGTTCCCTACTTCCAGAGACACACCTCTGGCAGTCATAGACTCATAGAATCATAGAAGTAGGGTCAGAAGGGCCCTTATAGATCTTCAAGCCCGACCCCCTGCCTGGGCAGGAGAAAAAAGAAAACCTGGGTTCAAATTATTCCAGCCAGGTAGGCATCAAGCCTCCTCTTAAAGACCCCCAGGGTAGGAGCCAGCACCACTTCCCTTGGAAGTTGTTTCCAGATCCTAGCCACCCTAACTGTGAAGTAGTTCTTACGGATGTCTAATCTAAACCTACTCTCCAACAACTTGTGACCGTTATTCCTTGTTATGCCGGGGGGCGCTAGGGAAACACAAGGTCTCTCCCAAACCCTTCTGGTCCCCCATAGTGAGTTTATAGA